TATATATATATATATATATATGTAATAAATTTAAAAGAACAATATTTATAATTGCGAGCTTTGTAAATAAATAAGAATTCTTTGGTATGTGTGTAAATTGCCCTGAATTTATGGATGTCATGCAATGGAACAATGTGTAATTTTCTCAATTTTACCTTGGTTAAGTTGGGAATGAAAAAAACCAAACAGTGGGATGCAGTCTTCCTCCTAGCTTTGCGAATTCGTAGAAATGCGAAGGCGCCGTTCAGACTGGAACGTGCAATCAAAGGCCTGAAACGTGTTTTGGATACATAACGTGGTCCAAAAGGCCAAAACAAAGAACCCATCGTCCTGTGAAATTCTGGACTTAATTTGAATGACAATTGAGTTTTTAGTTGTAATATATGGAATGTGTATGAACACACACACACATATTATTGGTACGGCAGGGGTTTGATTAAGGAAAAATGAAAATATTTGGGGTTAGGCTTTATATCCTTTCCAAATGTAGATAAGGATTTCTCAAAGCCATTAAATTGCTTCAAAATGAGTGTAATATATGAATAATCAAAGTTCGTATGTTAATCATCTCAAAGTATGCTGAACAGCTTTGAGATACACCTTAAGACACACATACACACAACCAATTAATCGAAGTACTGATGTGTATTAGAGCAGCCCAAATCAATTTTGAATGTTAAATGCATGTACATTACAAGTTCATGCCTTAGTCTTGATTAAGGATGGACAGATTAATGATTGATTGTGCTATCTTCAGTCAATGTTCTCATATGTAATTTTTGTGGCAATCTTCAGTCAATGTTCTCACATGTAATTTTTGTGGCACCTATACCTTTTTTTGTTCTCATTTTTCAGGGTAGAGCTAATGTGGCAATTTGTATATCATGCTTGGTCCTGTCTAAAGCCCACAGATTGGGAAATATGCTCTTTGAAATGGGTTTAGTATGTAGTTTAATTTAAAATTTGAATAGTGAAATTTACAAGTCCGGTGTTCAGGTATTATTTATTTTTTCTTTTTTTCTATTGGTAAAATTGAAGATTTTTGGAAGGAAATTCAACACTTTGATGTGAGAAAATAAATGTTTAAGAATTGGCTAGTGCCATTTTATAGTTTTGCTGCTTATGTTTTAATCAGTTGGGTTTCAATTTATGTTTTTGGGTGATTAGCCTGTTCAAATGTGGTGCCTTTTGTCAAGCCCTAATTTCATTGCTTGTTTTTTTAAATCATTTCGATTGCCATATTATATTTAGACATTGAAGCGGTTATCTGAATGTCCAACACAAACCATCTGAATATAAGAGTTGGATGATTTTGTTGATTTTTAGAACCAACACATTTGTTTTTCTTGGGGCCTTGCAAGTTGGTAGTCTCTACTTGCTGTGTCCCAACATTTTTTCATATTTACAAAACATGCTTTTCCTTAAACCCGGCAATTTAGTTCTTAACCAGTTTACCAGAAATTTCTCAAGATGGCCTTTATTTATGGTTGGTTCTAATGTGATTAGATTTTTGTTATTATCACTTAATGATGTTAATTAAGTTAAAATGGACGACCTCGGATCTAGTTTCTCTAATTTCATTTGCTCCTCCACGTCAAATCCATTTCATTGCCTACTTTAATTAATTGATTAGGACAGTCGAGTCAATGTTGCTTTAGTTTATAAGAGTTAAACCTTGAATATGATGAACATTCTTATGTTGGCCGACAAATAGCTCCATTATTTATTATAATCTAATTGGCGTGTTGAAATTTCACGATGATAATTTTGTTCTTCAAATTACGGGTGAAAAAGTTGTTGTCAAGGTTGTATATATAGAATGAGAAATAAACGTAGATTCAAGAGAGATCTATTTGTAACGTGTACTGATAGTGTGATCCTCCTTTAGTCGACCATCGAAATAATTTCAGGTGCCACAACAACTAAATTCACAGTGAAGCTGCTGGGATTTTTTTTGTTTAGGGGAGCCTTAAACGTTGGTTCTTATCCTAGACTGAGATGCAGTCGGAATGTTGGATTTTAGACATCTCACTAACCTCATCTTCTTCTTTGAGGCATATTTTCCTCACCAATTCCTCTTTGCAACTTATTCTCCCGTAAGTGGCTTTTAATCCACTTTCATCTCCATATCCATCAGCGAAAAACCACTCTTGAAGCGGGTGGGTATTGAAGTCCTCCCAGTAAATGAAATACAAGTGATGCTTAAGCTCCACCAGCTTAATTCCCGAGCAGTCCACTATTTTTAAACTTTGAAGTGCTGGGAGTCCAAAGATCCTCTCCTGTTGGGGGACCTTTTTAATGTGAAGTATTTCTAAACAAGGGTGGTTGTGCGCCACTTTAAAGAGTAGTTTTGGAATTTCATATATTTTATTTCCTTCAAAGATGCAGCAGCATGATGCAGGAGTTCTTCAGGAAATGACTTGAGTTTGGGGCATTGATAAATTATTAACTTCTCCAATCAAGGTATGACTTTCCCCTAATTACTCCACTCCTCCCAGTTATCCATTTTGTCAAACGTCTAGATCTTCATTCTCGGAAAGAATGCAGAATTTTGATATGTTGGCACCATTGCACCCTTCTCTATATTGCTTTTTTCGTTGGCTCTGTAGAATGCTGGTTCAATGCCCTTTATTGATGATGCACATTCAATCATAAGTGTTTCAACGTTAGGCAATAATCCTAAGCCATCAAGTTGTGTACAGTTGCTACAACCAATGATACTCAATTCCAGTATAAAATTAATTGATGCATGTCTCAGGCAACTCAGTATCTTGTACCCAGAATTGTTTCTAATATAAAGATATTTTGGTTGGGGAGGAGGACAAAAATCCTCAAAAATCTCTTGAATAGTATTTGAAGAATTGACATGTAACAACACATGTATGTTTTGAGAGGTAATATGAAACTGTATCAAGGATAGACTTATTTTTATTATATGCCTCAGGGGCCTTCTTAGCCTGAAAAGTCTTCCGCTTTGTTCGAATAATTCACATAAGTTTTAGGAGAAAAAAATGGAATTCTATTAAGCATAAAAATGGCCTGAAATTGGTAGTTTCTTATAAAAAATCTGGCTAAAAATACTAGTTCTTTATTCTGCAATCTTGAATTCTAGTGCAACCTCTCACTTCTAGCTCTAATGCTAACGAGGAAAACACACTTGGATAGAAATTTACGTGCCTTAAAAAGGAATTGGAAACAGAGAAACTATGGAATATGGTGAGCGCTAATTTAGTTTTCTTGCAGTGTAAGTATTAACTCAAAACATAACAATGGAATGCAAATATTAGAGAATGCACCCAATTTTTATTGGTAATGTCATCGCATCGATTGAAAAAGAAAACTCAAACATTAATAAAACTCAAAATGACAACAATATTGTCTCAACGCACATCTCGTACTTTTAGTGTGCATAAAAACCTTAAGATTTTCATGAAGTTGTGAATGCCTAGTATCTAATTGTTGTAGGAATACATCAGAGATTAACATGGAGTCCATATATTTTTGCATTACATATAGAAATATTTATGATGTATATTTTAAGTAAGACATCTTGGTTTATGTTTTTTGTAGATGATAACTTTTATAAATGAGATATGTACTTACATAAGTAAAAAGTTAAGAGCAATAGAAACAATATTTATATTGTGGTTATTGAGTACTTAGATTCAGCAGTTTAAATAATGTGTATATGATGTGCAATACTAGTAAGCTTTCTAGCCAATATTATTAAAAGATAAATCGATACTTATATTTGATAGATTTAAGCATATTGGTGCTATTTTAATGATGATTTGATAGATTTAAGATGGTGC